CTTTGGTGCAAGATCGCGCCAGTGTAGACACAGCCATAGGCTATTCTACACTGGCGGGTTGTTGCGCCAGGCTTAAAAACATGAACCCAAAAGGCTCAAAATGGAGAAGACAGATATAAATAATTTAAAAAGCATTATTTTTTAGACTCTGATGATTAAAAAGCCTATCACACAATTGAGGGTAAGGGGGCTGACTCATGGTTTTGGAATACATGTGGCTGTCAGTACTGTTTTAAATGTTTGTTCTCTCAGGGCTAGATTCTGTCACCCTTACTCAGACTTAATACCTTTCTCAGTGAATAGTACCATTGATTCCAGAATCACTACATAATAATTACACTATAAAGAATTATTTCCAAAATGCCACTAGGTTTTTGCTGTTGTTTTTGGTTGAAATCATTTTTGTTTAGTACAAATTCATTATGTAAAGGACTGATTAGCAGGTTGTAGAATCTCCACTATTGGAGCTATTTAAGGGCAGGTTAGACAAACACCTGCAAAGGATTATCTAGATGGGGGAGGGGGAAGAAGGTCAAATACTGGCCAGATCTAGTCCACCAGGGTTAACCCCTAGTGGGCCCCCACTGCTATATTTGTCTGTGCCTCTGCAGGTATGGGCAATACAAGTCTGTGCTGATTCCCACCACTCCCATTAGCCAGAAACAGCGATCTGCATCCAACAGGAGCTGCAATGGCCATACCTGCGGAGGCATAGGTAACAGGAACTAACCCTGGTGAACTGCTGTCATTGTATTGCCCAATCCTGATCTAGATGATGCTTGGTTCTGCCATGAGGGCAGGAGATTGGACTTGATGACCTCTCAGGATCCCTTCCTGTTCTAGTATTCTGTGAATCTATGTTTTTTCCTTTTACTCTTTATCTAAAAGAGAATCAAAATAATTTAAGAAAAAAGTCCCCTCTCCTTTAATTGGGAGTCCTGATTAGACCTAAGCAACACTTCCACTTCCTCTTGTGCAAGTAGTAGGATGAGCTAGCCAAGAATCAATGTGGCTTTACATTTCATACTTTTTCCTGCACAGAAGGAAGTCGAAGGGTTGCTAGATCTCATCTGTACTCTTGTATAAGAATGAAGTTTGCTTAAGATGATTGAGCACTTTTTAATTTAGTAAGAACATTTTAAGTCTGCTTTACATTTGAATTTTGTAGAAAGAAAAATAAATTTAAGTAATTTAGTGCTTCACATAAGATTGCCAAAAGTCCAATTTTCAACCAGGTATTACCCTTGCAGCTCCGATTGGTGGCGTAGCAGGGGCCTGGGGCTAAGGCAGGGTCTCTCCCTGCCTTGACTCCTGTGGCTCTCAGAAGTGGCTATCAGATGCCTGCAACCCAGAGGTGCAGAGAGACTCTGCCTGCTGTCCCTACCCTGAGTGCTGGCTCCACAGCTTCTATTGGCTAGGAATTGTGATTAATAGAAGCTGCAGGGGCAGCGCCTGTGTGTGAAGGCAGAGCACAGAGCATTCCAGGATGCCTAGGGGCCACAGGGACCTGGCAGCCATTTCGTAGGAGATGCAATAAGCATTGTCAGGACTCTGTTCTCCGAACCCCCTCCTATGGCCCCATCTTTCTCCTGGAAGCTCTACTCCCCCATACTCAACCCCCTGCCCAAGCCCAGAGTCCCCTTTTGCACCTCAATTCCCTTATCTCTGGCCCTACCCCAGAGCCTACACCCCCAGCCAAAGCCCTCACCCCACCTACCCAGCCTGGTGAAAGTGAGTAACACCCCAGACCTTACACCCCCAGCCAAAGCCCTCACTCCACCTACCCAGCCTGGTGAAAGTGAGTAAGAATGGGGCAGAGTGAGCAAGGGAGGGAGGGAGGATGGAGCAAGCTGAGGTTGGGGCCTTGGAGAAGGGGAAGGGTGAGACAGGCTTCAAGGAAGGGAAGTGCACGATTTCTGAGAAGGGGCGGGGCAGGGCAGAGCTGTTCTGTTTTGTGCAATTAGAAAGTTCACAATCCTAGCTTCACACCCACGTGCCAGCAGGGAGTCACTGAGAGCACAAGAGAGACAGGTTCCCTGCTCTCTCTTCAGATGTCCCAGGGAAGCCCTTCTGAGCCCCAAAGGCCTTTGGATGGAGCATACGTCGTCTGAGCAGCACTAGGTACTGTGTAAGGCTCAAAACATACTCTAAGAACATGTGCAAATTAAGATTTTTTTTTAATGGGTGATCATTTAGATAGATTTTATCGGTGATAGCAAAAGGCACATCACTGACAAAAAAGGTCACCTTCCTGTGAAATTTCAAGCTCCTGCATGAAATTATAGGGGCACTAGAAGCATTTCAAACACACCATCACTGGAATTTTTAAAACCAGGACAAAACAATGTATTCTTCCCAAGCCTCGTTCTCAGAAATTGTTGAACTGTTTTGACTGATATTTTCGGCAAGACTTCAGTCAGTAGCAGACCCATAGCATGGAAAATGTCACCACAAAGAGCTGGAGTTTTCAAAGTTATAATCAATTGAAAAGAGGATGTTTATAATGGGACGTTTTGGGCAAACTAAGTAGTAGGCGATGCTGCCAGCCAATGTTCCCTTTCACCTTTTCCATCCATGTGTGGAATAAATGTTTATGTGCAGCAAGGCATGTGCAAATGGGCACCACCAGTAGAAACAAAAAACTTGGTTGCGGGTGCCCTGTTAATCAGCTGGATGGCATTGGAATCTCTCCTGAAGGGTGGCACAAGCACACAGCTTACAGAGAACACTGCTGCTATACAGAATCTATATAGAACCTATATAGAATCTGTTCAGCTCCTAACCTTTGGAATGATGCTAAACATTTGAACAGAGCTGTTTGGCAGGCCTTGTATTTTCAGGCCCTGAACATTCAAGCTATTTTGAGAGAGCTTCAAAATGCTCACATACCCAGGCCAGATACACAAACAACCAAACCCGAGAAATATTGTATTGTTTAGAGACAGGGAGCCTGCAGAGAGTGCTCATAAAGCAAATAATAAATCTGGGTTACAGTTGTGAGTTTTCTGATTTACAGACCCTAGAAACCCTTCCTTAGCCATGAAAATGAAGTGGCTGTGTAACAGGCAATGTGACAGCACAGGGTGCTGTGTTAACTTACAGCAATGTGTTCCATGCTGTCATCGCCAGGCACTAAAATGCACCTTGCACAACAGTAATTGGATAAGCAGGAATAGCAAAAATCTGTCACAAGACAAAGCCATATCCCGTTAGATCTGGCAAATTAAACAGCTTGTGATGACTGAGCAAGTAACTCAAACATGATCTCTTAGTCGTTTCTTGAATAAGCAATGGATTTCTTCAGCCAGCATGAAGCTGGTACATTAAAAAAATCACTTCTTAAATACCATAGAAAGGGCTAAATCTAAATTGAAATCCAATTGGCAAAAATTTTACTGAATGTGTACATAACTCCCAGCAGACTCAGAGTTTCACTTCCTGTACTCTGGGCACTGGCATCCTATTTCTTCCCTTCGCTGAACTAAATTATTCATCTTCTGCTCATATTACTGCTTTCCCTCCCAAAATCCTATTTTCTAGATTGACATCACAATAAGCAGAAACAATACAAATATTAGAGTCTAATATATAAAACAATGTGCTACCTCTCCTTATTGTTTCCTAGTAATACTATAATTAGCACCCTGTGACTATGTGCCCTTCAGACAGTGGAAATCCTTACCACAAGGAAAACATCAGTGTTCTACTGAGGGCTCACAGGAAGTAATCATCTCAATTTCTCCTTGGGAGTTATTTTGAATTGAAGGAGATTTCTTAGGTTTAAATGTGCTAAGGATTGGTTGAGGGCCAGGAGAAATCAGAAATATAAAATAATTCAGAGACATCATTACTTCGAGCTGTGAAAATTGTATCCAAAGGATTCTTGCATTGGAAATGCTATGCATGCCACATGAAAGTTGCATCCCTGATATGTGGAAACAGTACATTTGCCTCCAGCTGGTACAAAATACTGTTGCTCACTTCCACAACGTTTGGGCTTCTGTGAACAATGTTCATATCCCTCCACTGATTTCCAGTCTACTTTCAACATTAGGGTTGCCAGATGGTGTCAACAAAAATACTAGACACACTTGACATTACATCACAATCTACATTACATCTTATTTAGAAAATACCGGCAGACATTTATATTTTCTCAATTTGTTTCCTGAACAGAAAGCTAAAATACTGGACTGTCCTGTTCAAAACCGGACACCTGGCAACCCTATTCAACATGGCTTTAAAGCTTTGGGCCTATAATCTTCAAAGCTATTAATGAATCAAACCCCAGCCAGCTACATTAAAGATTAAATTTTGATCCATGAACCACTGAGGCACCTGCTCTCCTCTGGGACAAATACAGATAATAAAATCTCAGACTGAAGCCTCTGGGAAGTTGGGAAGAAAACTTGCAGAGGAGATTAGCTGAATTCAATATCAGACCATTTCTAGGAAACACTGCAAAAACTCTGAAGTATAACAAGAATGATACTTATGGTAGTAATATCGCCTTCAATTTACCTCAGATCTGGTCAGCAGAAAATAACACTACCCTAAGCAAAGTTTTTAAATCCCCCTAAAATGGAAGAAACCTGGTAGATCAAGGAAGCTCACTAAAAACTTTGCTGTTACCTGCTGATTTTTCAGTCAGCAGCAGCATATGTATACTGACTAATTCCAGAAAAAATTATGACTTTTATTGCTGTTATGTGGAATGAGACTATATATTTTTTTTAAATTTGGTTGGTTATCAGTGTTGTATGTAACAACATATCAGAAATAATACAGACTCAACAGGATGACAATAACCTATTCAATTTTCATGTGTCTGTTGAACTAGGTTATTAAGTCATTACAAGGTGACTGAGTACAGAAAAAATCATTTTGAACTTCAGTGATTTTTTCCACAATTATTTTCTGTTTTAAGGCTTTGTCTGCACAGCAACTCATAATAGCATAATTGAATAGTTATACCAGTATAACTCTCCTTGGGGCTGCTTTATTCTAGAGAAAAAGTGGCTTTGACAGTGATCAGAGTGTGGGTAGTTATGCCTCATGGCTACATCAAGAGGAGATGGCCAGAAATCAGAGCCAAGGGTCAGAGCCAGCGACAAAAATTGGAGCTGAGGGTCATCAGGACCCAGCTATTTGGAGTGAAGTCAGGCTCCCAAAGATGGAAGGAGGCAGATTCAGGCACTATCACACCAACAGGCAACTATTTCAAGCAGTGACTAAAATGCTGTTGCTGGGCTTAAGAGCCAGTTGTCAGACTCCTCTAACCAATGAGGTGGTGCAGTGAATCATGCAGGCTACTACGGTTCAGCTGCATATGTCAGGTTGCCTGGAGACTGGGTCTGTTGCTGGCCTTGCTTCCTGAAGGTCATTACTCTTTTTTAGCATAAGTTACCTGCAAAACACCATAAACAAAAGGCATTCACATTACAATGTGTCCGTATGTGGGGCTATACTGGTACAACCGTAGCATCGTGCATTGGAGGTTATAGCAGCACAAGCTGTGAATTCAGGCCATAGTGCCAATAGCAGCAACAAGATCTGGGTTCAGTCAGACTGTAGAGGTTTATCTTTAAAATAAACTATGAGTCAAGCCCCACCCAGAATCCTAGTCTTATTTCTGGCCATGAGAACTAAAATAAAACCTCCCTGGTCATCTTGGTAGGCAGACCTCCCCTCCCCACTCCCACAAGAATACTTTGGGGAAAGGAAATCTGTGCAAACAAACAAATACACACCATTGGAAAAATGCAAGTGCAAAGTTGAAACATTATTCATGATGTTTCATAATTTAGCTAATCACTTCTGTCTCATTTGAGCATCTGTGACTTTTTCCAGTTCTGTCCTGCCTTTAAGGGTTCAATTTTACAAGTCTTTCATCTCTCTGAGGGGAAGTCTACATAGCAATAGCGTTATTTCGAAATTGTTTTGAAATAACGGTTGGCTTATTTTGGTGTTGGTATACCTCATCCTATGAGGAATAACGCCTCTTATGACATAGCTATTTCAAAATAGTGGCTGTGTAGACAGGGCAGCGGCAGTTATTTTGAAATAAGGGGCCTCCAGCCCTTCCCAAGGTGCCCTGATGGCCACTCTGTCTACACTCAGCAAAACTCTATAGTCCCCACCTTCTCCTGGAGCCCTGCAGCTGCCATAGCTTCCCTTTGGGCAACACGAGCCAGTCTGTGGCTCCCACCCAGCCCCCAACTGCTCCCAGGGATGGCTCCCAGGCACCTGCCCAGGGCTGAAAGAGCTGCGCGCCTTCCTGGTTTGGTGTGGAAATCCTGGACCTTATTGAGGTTTGGGGTGACAAGACCAACCTCCAGGATCTCTGAACTAGATGTGGGAATGCCAATGTCTACGGCTGCACGGCTGAGGGCCTGGCCACCAAGGTGGAAATCTGTACCCAGGAGCAGGTGAGGATGAAAGTGAAAGAGCATCTGTGTCTGGGGAAAACCCCCACCCCTGCCTCTATTATATGGACCTGGACCGCACCCTGGGGGGCAGGTCAGTCCCTTCCCCACTGCCGGTAGTGGACTCATGGCTTGACATGCCCATTGTGGTCCTGCCAGGGGATAGAGCCAGTGAGGAGGAGGAGGCAGAGGAAGAGGAAGAGGAGGCAGACGAGGTGAGCACTATCACCTTCCTGACCTGGAGCCAGTAACTCATACTGTGAACATGTCCCAGGCATTGTCCGAGGCCAGGGAAGGAACAGCATGTGAGTGCCATCGTATTCCCTTCACGCAGGGGGTGGAAGTGGTGGGTGGTGAGGGGTAGCTCTGTGCTTCTTGCTCAGCCCTTGTGGCCTGAGGATCATGCAGCAGCCTGTGCATGTGGAAGCACATGCCATGCTGCTCTGGCGCACACAGCCCCAGGAGGCTGCCACATGGGACCATTGTGCTATTGGCCGCAGGGTGTCTGGAGAGGTCTGCCATACTTATGACACCAGGGTGGGACACAAGCCACCACTAGAAAGAGCCTGGGGACATGGACATACATAGCAGTGCTGCACACGGGCCCCGGGCATGCCCGCACTCTCAGGGCAGCATCCACTCCCAGGGTATGTCTACACTACCACCCTAGTTCGAACTAGGGTGGTAATGTAGGCAACCGGAGTTGCAAATGAAGCCCGGGATTTGAATTTCCCAGGCTTCATTTGCATCTCGCCGGGCGCCGCCATTTTTAAATGTCCGCTAGTG